AAGGATGAACAATATCCAAAGTTCTTTCCCCAAGCTCCATTGCTTCACCTCTGTGGAGTACGTGTTTGTTCTGAATGCACTAATTGATATAAATGATTAATAAAACAGTAACAATAGCTATATAGCTATGGATTACTGTAAAGAACACATGTAAGCAAATTTTGTATCCTAAATTCTAATTAATTTCTGCCTTATTCCCCATTATAATTTATTATTCAACTTGCATAAATTCAAGACACAAATATCATTTAATTCAGTCAACAAGAGATCAGATAACTAACACCAGAATTATCAACTGAAGAGCTTTCATGTTAGCTGTTCACTTTTGGGGAATTTTTTCAGGTTGTCAAGATTTGAATTGGGAAACGGGTTTAAAGCAAATGACATAATATATTTAAATATGCTGAACACAAGCTGCAATTGTGTTTACACACATCTAAACACAAGACAATATTGGAAAACTGAAAGTTCAAAACATTTTTAAGGCCTAAAATGAAACTGGAATTAATTTAAAGATCTTCTTGCTTATGGACATACACTCAATCAACTGTTACTAAATGTTGCTATTGTTTTCGTATTCATACGTTTTAAATAGTGCACTTAAAACAAAACTGAAATGGCTTTTCATTTATACACACAAATAATGCACTTAAAAACAAATTCTACATAAAAGGCTTCAAGCCCTCTTCTCCTTTTCATAGCACTTTTATTTCTGTTTGCTGTAATCTGCCTTTCACTTTTTCATTGCTCCAGAACAAACAAGGAGCTTGGTGCTTTGAAAAGACAGCTCAATGTTTAATGGTCCACCAGAATTAATTTAGTTGCACAAAATCTATTCAATTCAGGTTTCTCAACCATTTTGAGCTCAACACAGATCTGCCTTTGTAATTCTAGTAAGCACTTAAAGTGCACAGTAGGTGTTCATCAGCACCATCTGGTCAAAAGCAAAACAAGCTGCCGATTCGCTCTTTGAATAGAATGAAGCAAGTGTGAATTATTATGTTCAATTAGCACTATTACAATCTGTCAAGTGCATATCGTGAAACAGTAATGGTCACTATCACTATAATCACTTTTTTGCCTCTTTTTTAAAAAAAGCTTGAATTTCTTCACTTAAACACCAAAGAAAACTTTAATCATATTTACTTCACTTAAAGTCTTTATTTCAGACCAAGTTGAATAGTACACAAATTCTTTTGATTAGTTTGAATACTAAACATTTTATTAAAAGCACCGTCACTGAACAGATTATGATTTCCACATCAGGAGACACCCTTTACTTTATGGAATCACTAGCTGCCAATAAAACACCATCAGCAACATAATTAGTTGTGATATGCTACTGTTTAAAGATGCTTATGGTTACACATTAATAGGGAGCCTGGCTTCACTTTCTACTGGTTGGAATCAAAAGTTTAAAACTTATAAGAATTCAGAAATTCAGTTCCTCAAATAAATATGTAACCAGGACTTTCAATGTTAACATTTCATAAACATTAATATTGAGTTTCTTTATTAAAACATAAATCAAGGCAAACTTAATAAAACTGAGTAATATCAACCACACTGAAGGTGAATAAATTGCCAAATATAATGTGGTGTCAGCTTGGCTCTGGTGGTGGTACTCTTGTCTCAAGAGTCCAAAAATTCAGGTCCAAGCCCGCTTCTGAATTTTAAGCTCACAAAGTCTAGGCTGGCCCTCTAATGCATTGCTGGGGGCACTACACTTTACAGTGTTTTCAGACATCCTCGTGAAATGGTATCAAATGCAAGGATTATTTACAATCATTTTAAATTCAACAATAACAAGAATAACTTGCACTTAATAGCGCCCTTCACACAGGGTAGTGTCTCAAAGCACTTAACAGTGGTGGAGCCTGACTTCTGAGCTGGTGGTGGATGGGTGGGGGGTGACCGAAGACACCGTTGAAGAGCGGGGTCTTGACATGGATCTTGAAAGAGGCAAAGGAGGGGGCGAGGTGGAGGTACTACGGGATGGAGTTCCAGAGGATGGGGCAGTGGCTGAAGGCTCGACCGCTAAGGGTGGGTCGGCGAGACAAGGTATGTGAAGCAGGTCGGAGCCCGCTGAGTGGAGTGGGCAGATTGGTAGAGGGTTAGGACGTTGCAGAGGTAGGGAGGAACAAAGCCATGGAGGGCTTTGAAAGTGAAGACCAGGATCTTGGCACGGATATGGGGGAGAAAAGATAGTTGAGGGTCAAACAAGACCCCAAGGTTCCGGACTGGGTTAGTGAGGTGGAGTGTGCGGCCAGAGATGGTGATGCTATCAGCGCCTGAGGTGAGGAGGTGCTGACGGGAGCCAATCAGGAACCTCGGTCTTGTTGATGTTCAACTGAAGAAAGTTCACTCTCATCCAGGACTTGATGTCTGACAGACAGTCTGTCAGGACAGCAATGGTCCTGGAGTCAAGGGTGGAGGCAGAGGTAGAGTTGGGTGCTATCTGCTTACATGTGGAAGTTGATCCCACATCTACGGATGATGTCACCAAGAGGGTGCATATAGATATTGAAGAGGAGGGGACCAAGGACAGAGCCCTGAGGAACACCACATGAGACAGTCTGGGGGCCAGAGGAGAAACCATTTGTGGAGATGAAGTGCAGGTGGTGTGAGAGTTACAATCTGAACCAATCAAGGACAGCACTGTGGAGATTGAGGTTAGAGGAGAGGCGGTGGATGAGGATAGAGCAGCCAACAGTATTGAAGGCAGCAGAGAGGTCAAGGAGGACGAGGAGGCAGAGGGAGCCCTGGTCGCAGATGGACAAAATGTCATTTGTCACTTTGACCAAAGCTGTTTCTGTGCTGAGGGCGGCAACATATTAGCAAATATAAACGTCAAACTTAAAAATAAAACATTTTATAAAAAATTGGCTATTATTAGTAAAAAGAATTATGGATACAAGAGGCTAGTCATGGAGCAATGTTTGGGGGAGATCCTGACTTAAGTGCCATTGAAGTGAGAAAAATCAAAGCAGCAACAAAAGAAAATACAAATAAAAAGACCAAAAAGTAAACTTATCACTTATCCAGAAGGTAATGTGAGAATAGTAATGGGTGAGATGTGGTGATTATAACTGGTCATTTTTTTTTTAAAAAGTAAATAAATTCTTATTGTTACAGTATTTAGATTTTAAAATAAGCTTCTTACCTCCCCATGCCTTCTAGGTTTGGTATTGGCAAAATTATTACTGCTCAAACTTTAAAAATGTGTATGCAGCACCAATATATTTGTTTTAAAATAGTTATATGGAGAATTTCTGCTAATAGATAACTATTCTCATCTTCTCTCTCAAACAATCAAATTAGATTTTTTAGGGAAAGCTGCAGATTTTAATACTGAAACTCACTGACATTTGTCTGACCGGTTAAAACTTGAAGGATAAAAAAATTCTCAATTACGTGCAAGTGTAGTGTGTTGCAGAATAGTCATTGAATTTTAATATTTCAAGTTAATTATTTATGCCATAATTTAACCATATGCATAGAAATCAGAATGTCTGGGACCCCAGTCAGCAAAACATTTAAATAAGTCAGTGGTTAAATAATTTTATGAAATATTTATACCCTACAGTAACAGTAATAAATACAAAGCAAACAAGACATACTTTTATGAAGCTCCATGTTATGAATTATGAAACACCATATTATGAATGAATATTTTATCATTTTCAAAAATCCCCTGTTTAGTTTAGAAATGAATTAAAGACTGTTCTTCTGCAATTTGCCAATTATTCACAGATCAAACAGTTCCCATACTGTGTATACAACCAAAACTAATATGAAAAAGGACTGTCTGGTATCTTTATAATGATCTTTATATACATTACTTTATTGTGACAAGTTTCCATTACTGAACACTAATTTTGTCTGATACTTCATGCTTTTACATCAGGACCCCCTCAAGAAATGAAGGATGCTATTCCAAATGCAAAGATGATGATGAAAGTGGACAGGAAAGGGATGATACTCTGGTCTGAGCTGATCTGCAATTAGGCAACTCGAAGTTAGTAGCCCTAGTCTGCAAACTGCAATGCTAAATTTGGGCATTGAACATTATACAACACTTAAATTTAGCATTCCTTCAGATCATTTTATGACCGTATGTCACATAAAATCAATAGGGGATGTTAGTATGCCTCAGTGGTAGCATTCTCATCTCAAAATCAGAAGTTTGTGGGTTCATGCCACACGATGGGACTCTGAACTTGCAGTCTAGTCTAACACTTCCATGCAATACTAGGGGAAGAGCTGTATTGTTAGAAGTGCCATCCTTCAGATTAGATGTTAAACCGAGGATCAATCAGTGTTTTCAGGTGGTTAAAAGATCGCATGGAGCTATTCAAAAAGAGAAGGGAGTTTCTCCCAGTGCCCCAGCCAGCAACCCCACAAATAAAATTGGTCTTTCACTTTATAGCTGTTTGTGGGATTTTGCTGCATGCAATTTGGTTGCTGCATTTGCCTATAATATACACAATCACTGCACTTTACAGTAAATCCCATGAAGCACTTCCAGATGTTCTTCTGACATGAAATGCACTATATCAAATATAAGGATTATTATACAACAATTGTCAATGTATTGGCAGAAGTACTAACAAGTTTCTGGAAGATACTTAGTCTGCCTTAGCAGTACAACCATTCAACTATGGACAATAAAAAAATGGATTCAACTAATTGAGAAACGGCATTAGTGAAAAACTGATACTGTAAGAAATGTAAATCAGCAGTACATGCTCATAAGATAAGTATAAGAATTAATCTTAGCAACAGAATAGACTGCAATAAGCATAATCACAATCAGATTTACCTTTTTATCTCTAGCGAGGTAACATGGAGCCTTTTTAAACAGGTCAGTTTTAAATTGAACCACATCACCAATGGGAAAAACAAGTTTGCTCACTGTATAGAAAAGATTAGGACCTCTTTAACAGAGCTTCTTTTGGTGATAATGAGCTATTCTTACTCCCAACACAACTGTAACTCACCTCTTGAATAGTTCTGGTGCCCGGAAAGTTCAAGCTATAGTCCCGCTGGGCTTCTCGATGTGTAATGATCAGCATGAAGTTTTGATTTAATGACTCCTGTAGGGTACTGAAAGAGTGGAAAGAAAACAACAGAATCAAGGATGAGCATGTTCTAGCTTGCTGAGCCTGACTGCAATGAAGCCCCAAGAGTATGTCACCTACGACGTGGGCAAGTCTAGACGGATTCAGTTATAGTCTGTTCATAAGGCAAAAGGGCATGCTGTGAGTGACCAGAAGAAATCTAACCTGCGAGTTATAATTTCCTCTTTAGCTTTAAGAGTCATCATTCACAGGAGGTACTAATCACACACAAAAAATAATGTGTACACAATCCAACATTTTAATAGAGGTTAACATTTAATAGAGGTTAAATTGTGCAAGTAAAAGTAAGGGCAAATGAAAGAGAGGTGATACACATAAAATCTAAACTTGACCTGGTTTTCTATCACTAATGGGTATCTTTTTGAGCAAGTCATGCTTATTAAAGCACTTTATTTTCTTCCTTTGCCTGACTCTCCTTGGCCATACAACATTTGCTCTCAGGATTCAATGGCATTGCCACTCTTAGGTGGCAGGAGTCAGATGAAAATAAACTGGTGGAGACTCTATAACTTGATATAGTATGGAACATAAGAATTAGGAGCAGGAGTAGGCTATTCGGCCCCTCGAGCCTGCCCCACTATTTAATAAGACCATGGCTGATCTGCTAACCTCATTCCATTTACCCGCCCTATCCCCATATCCCTTAATCCTTTTAGTTTTTTAAAATCTAGAAATCTCATTCTTGAACATGTAATTTAATGGAGAGAATGCAACCTCCGTGATCCAGGTAATTTGAATCTGTATCAAACATGGCATCTCCTCATTGTGGTTTAACCTGCCACCACTTCTAATAATAATAATCCTTGCATTTGATGCTTTTCACATCTTCTAGCCATCTCAAAGCGCTTCAGAATATACTGTAAAGTGAATTGACTGTATATTTTGTGGGCGTAACACAGCAGCCAATTGCGCACAGAAATGTCCCACAGACAGTCGTGGATTGAGTAACCAAATTATGTATTTATTTATTTTTTAAGTGTTATTATCCCTGGAAAAGCGATCTACCAACTGACTAACAACTGGGTTCCTACTTACTGCTAAGTAAACTGGCGTGTGGAGTAAGGAAACTTGCCTCAGGTTTTGCTCTTCAGGGAATGGAACCCAGGTCTTTCATTTCCAAGGCGAGTGCTCTAACCACTGAGTTACAGGACTCCAAATGAGAAAGGCCCTTCTTAACATCTTAAAATTAAGAAATAGCAATTTGGCTGCATTTTTTGTTTAATGTACAGAAATACTATGGAAGATGAAAACGTTTTATTTGTAGACTTCTGAATTTACACATCTATACATTTATACTTCTACCCTTGTAGTTGTCAATTGTGCCTTTATTCCTTCCTTCCCTCAGGGAACTTCCCCTCTAGCTGCAACTCAAATAAAACAGTTAAAACAGTAAGCAAGGAAAAGGCAAATAGATTTAATAAAATGCTTGAGGTGGGAAGAAGTTAATTATTTGCTGGATTTTGATGCTGTCACATGCTACTTGTCATTTGAACATCAATCTGCCAAATATAGTTGTACAAGCCACATCAAATGAAGAAGTTAATTACTGGGTTCAAAACAATTTCTTCCTTTTATTTTCAAATATAATCAGTAATACTGAAATATGGAGTACCAATGTCTTGTGCTCGGCCACGAAATGTGAAGATGTAATTTGATTTTCCAGAACCAGTTCCTGATTTGAATCTTCTAAAACTTGTGAACAAAGAGCAGAGACTACTACACCCTCTGTCAGATACATAAAGTCACACAACTCCTACTGGCCAGTCACGGGGCTTTGACAGAGGTTTGGGTGTACTCTCAGCAGCAAAGGCACAAGTCAAGGTGAATTGAGGAAAGGGGATAAATGTAACATGGAAATAAAATTATCCATAAAAATGGAGATTTTGAATTAGATTTTGAAATTATAATTTGGATATTAAATTATTTCAGGCAGCATCTGTGTTAAATCTATTTCACATTAACATAGCATTTTAGTTTTGTTTTCCTTTTTACACCCATTCCCTCTTATATACATCTTATTTTTGTTTTAAGATACAATCTGAAGATAGCAGCCAGCAATTTTAATACGCACTGATTAAAATACCATTCAGATTTGCTTTGATTTTAGTCACACAAAGTACATAAGAAGCAGGTGTTTTGTGAGAAAAGCAAATTTGTTGCGTCTTTGATGGTTCCAACAATTAATAAGTTATGGCACACTGTAAAGAGATTATTTTACTCCAAGTACTATGCCAGCTTATGCTAACAGAATCTAAGTTTACTGTAATTACTGCATATTTACATAAAGTAAAAATATTAAATCACTGTGAGCAAGTAATGTTTGATGTGGCTTGTACAGCTATATCTGGCTGATTGATGTTCAAATGACAGACAGCACGTGACAGCATCAAAATCCAGCAAATACGCTTTGCTGAGGCTTCAGTGTTTACTTTGCATTTTGTATTCAGAGATTTTCATATACGATCTCATGCATTTCAAAACTGCAAATTACAGTTCAGAATTAATGGAAATTCTAAAACAAGCTGCACTGTATTATGGTGTTCCCCAAGGTCTGATCAAATTAATGATAAAATAATAATGATGCTACAAAATGCATCTTACTTAATTAACACTCTTACAAATGTTAATGAAAGGCAAATGATAATGAAAGTCAAAGTTCTGCTGCAACCTTCCGTTGCTCCAACATCAGTTCAGTATTGAGCCTCAATTTGTTTTCAACATTAAAACATAAGATCTGCTCATCTGCACCAAAACTTTTGCAGTCAATTCAGGCAGTAATAAATGTAACTTTCAGAGTACACAAGCCTTCAATGTGGCCCTTTCTTCAACTCCTTACATGTGTAGTCAATTTAGAAATGGAAATGACAATTATAAGCAAATAATTCTCAAATTGCTTCACTGAGAACGCATATATGCTCAGCTCAACTAAAAGCAGTTATTCGCTGTCACATCAATATCAAATTTACTTTCTTGTAATTGTACAATTATCAGTACTTCAGTAATCAAGCAGTTCCTTAACCCTGCCTTGTTATTCATCAATATTGTACTCTCTGAAACTTCACGTAACATTACAACTTCATTAAATGCCTAACTTGCAAGTAATTCCTTGTAAAATGCTTTTTTAATTTTAATTCTTTAATTTGTTAATTCTTTATAAAAATCTTGGTTTTATGAGTTGATACAATTAAAAAATTGTATAATAATAATCCTTGCATTTGATATAGCGCTTTTCACGTCGGGAGGACGTCCCAAAGCGCTTCACAGAACACACTGTAAAGTGAATTGACTGTACATTTGTGGGCGAACGCGGCAGCCAATTGCGCACAGCAATGTCCCACAAACAGTCGTAGATTGAAAATGACCAATTTATTATTGTTTTTGTTTTTTGGAGGGATTATTATTAGGCGTATCAACTCATAAAACCAAGATTTTTGGCTCATTTATTTTGTACAAAGTTGCACTCTATGTTATAGTATTTTGCTTGGACAATGACAGATATTTCTCATTTAAATGATTTTCATTAAAAGAATTACCACAATAATATTGCACTGAAGCTATGATTTTTCATTTATTTTAGGATAGTTCAAACAACAATTCTGAGAAATAATTTTGCAGCTACAAATATAGTCTTCCTCTTTTCTGGACAGTAGTTCAACTTTCACGTACAGATAACTCAATCATCCAAAGAACTGCATTGCCTAAATGCTAGGCCAGAATGGATTGCCACCATTAAAATACTGCCCATCCTGAACTACCTGATCAATGGAAATACTACTCTAAGAAGCCACCTTACAAATATCACATTTTATAAGTAGAATACTTAGAGCACAAATAGAATGGGCTCTAACTTTGCCAGTTGTGATCAACAACAACAAAATTAAATTTTTATAGCGCCTTTCATGTCGGGAGGATTTCCCTTATCAGCACTGGAAAAGCATAAGGAGTAAATTTTACATGTAAATTTAAACTCCAATTTGCTAAATGATGAAAAAAAGGGGAATACCAAAAGCCTAGAAAATACAACACAATTTACAATAAATGTACTTTTTTTAACAGTCTGTTCATGTCAGGTGAACATCTCAAATCTGCTTAAAATATGATTTTTTTCAGATCTCTACTGGTCCTTCCTTATTGTCCTGATATTTAGAATATTTGATTTATAGATAGCAATGGTTTAACAATTTAAAAGCATCACAAGTAGGACTAAAAGTCTTTCTCTCTCTTCCCCTCCTTCTCTCTTCAGGGTAAGAAACCAAATCTTGTTTTCAGAATTTCCAATCAAATAAAATGGAATGATTAGTAGAATGGAATTTTCTCAATAGTGCAATGGTGTTTATTGTCATGGGAATTACAGTAGGCTGAAGAACAAAAGCAACAAATAAATGTCCTCCACAAACATTATGTACACCAAAATATCAAATTAGTAACTACAAAGCAATTGAACACTATTTCACCATACCACTATGCATTTAATTTAACTGTGTCCACCACCTAGTGGTAAAGCTGCACCAATCATTTTTGCATCTCTATCAAATATATATTCTGAAATTAAAGACCAAATTACTAACAATACCATTCTTTTATATAACAGAAAATCAGTTCAAAAATAAACTTTTTAAACAAATTGCTGAAAAAATATAAAATGACTTGTTCTAACTTCCAAAGAATGAACATTTTCAAAAAGCACCACTGACTTAACAGGTTGGAGATCTAATATGGAAAAGGAAGGACATGGATTCCCTTGACTGTTGCCCACACAATAAAAGTTACTAGATATGACATCTATAAAGAAGTAAAAAGCCAGGAATTTTACCAAAAAAGAGGACACATCATCCCAGTCACTTCCTTGTTTTGTGGATCCATGAGGTCATGTGGGTACAGATAAATATTATTGACTTTGGCTTGATTACCTTTGAGGATCAGGGAATGTGTATGCAGAATATTCCCACAGTAGAACAGTAGATTAAATAGGTGGAGAATAGAAAATTAGGTAGTCTATACATGATCTATTGAGCAACTGTGATGCGCTTAATTTTTTCATGGTAAATGGACCATGTATTTAGGTCTCTCTCCCCCCGTCAAATTGTCAAAGTTAACATTTATTTGCCTGTCTGGTTTGGAAACCAAGTATTCAGACAGACAGAGAGAGAGGGGGAGACAGAGACAGACAGAGACAGACAGAGACAGAGAAAGACAGAGAGAGAGAGAGAGGGAGACAGAGACAAAGAGACAAAGAGAGAAAGAGAGAGAGAAAGAGAGAGAGAAAGAGAGAGAGAAAGAGAGAGAGAAAGAAAGAAAGGCAGGCAGGCAGGCAGAGAGCGAGACAGACAGACAGACAGACAGACAGACAGACAGACAGACAGACAGACAGACAGACAGACAGACAGACAGACAGACAGACAGACAGACAGACAGACAGACAGACAGACAGACAGACAGACAGACAGACAGACAGACAGACAGACAGACAGACAGACAGACAGACAGACAGACAGACAGACAGACAGACAGACAGACAGACAGACAGACAGACAGACAGACAGACAGACAGACAGACAGACAGACAGACAGACAGACAGACAGACAAAGACAGACAGACAGACAGACAGACAGACAGACAGACAGACAGACAGACAGACAGACAGACAGACAGACAGACAGACAGACAGACAGACAGACAGACAGACAGACAGACAGACAGACAGACAGACAGACAGACAGACAGACAGACAGACAGACAGACAGACAGACAGACAGACAGACAGACAGACAGACAGACAGACAGACAGACAGACAGACAGACAGACAGACAGACAGACAGACAGACAGACAGACAGACAGACAGACAGACAGACAGACAGACAGACAGACAGACAGACAGACAGACAGACAGACAGACAGACAGACAGACAGACAGACAGACAGACAGACAGACAGACAGACAGACAGACAGACAGACAGACAGACAGACAGACAGACAGACAGACAGACAGACAGACAGACAGACAGACAGACAGACAGACAGACAGACAGACAGACAGACAGACAGGACAGACAGACAGACAGACAGACAGACAGACAGACAGACAGACAGACAGACAGACAGACAGACAGACAGACAGACAGACAGACAGACAGACAGACAGACAGACAGACAGACAGACAGACAGACAGACAGACAGACAGACAGACAGACAGACAGACAGACAGACAGACAGACAGACAGACAGACAGACAGACAGACAGACAGACAGACAGACAGACAGACAGACAGACAGACAGACAGACAGACAGACAGACAGACAGACAGACAGACAGACAGACAGACAGACAGACAGACAGACAGACAGACAGACAGACAGACAGACAGACAGACAGACAGACAGACAGACAGACAGACAGACAGACAGACAGACAGACAGACAGACAGACAGACAGACAGACAGACAGACAGACAGGAGCTCCATACATGTATCACCTATAGATGGAGTATAACGTGGGGAAGTGTGAAGTTATTCACCTAGATAGTAAAAATAGAAAAGTGGATTATTTTCTAGAGGGGGAGAGACTGGATGGTGTTAGTGTTCAGAGAGATTTTGGTGTCCTTGTACATCAGTCACAAAAAGTTAGTCTGTGGGTACAGCAAGCAATTAGGAAGGCTAATGCCATGTTGGCGTTCGTTGCAAAAGGGTTAAAGAGTACAAGATTAGGGAAGTCTTGCTGCAGTTTATAAGGTCTTGGTGAGTCACACCTAGAATATTGTGTGCAGTTTTGGTCTCTTTATTTAAGAAAGGACATACTCACCTTAGGGGTGCAGCGTAGATTCAAGAGGTTAGTTCCTGAGATGAGGGGGCTGACCCATGAGGAGAGGTTGAGTAAGACTAGGTCTATATTCTCAAGAATATAGAAGAATTAGAAGTGATCTTATAGAAACCTATAAAATTCTTAAGGTCTTGACGGGGTAGATGCCGTGAGACTGTTTACCCTGGTTGGAGAATCTAAAACTAGGGGTCATAGTCTCAAGATTAAGGGTCAGCCTTTTCGAACTGAGTTGAGGAAACATTTCTTCACTCAGAGAGTAGTGAATTTGTGGAATTCTCTACCCCAGAGGCTGTGGATGCTCAGTCCTTGAACATATTCAAGACTGAGGTTGATAGATTTCTAAAGGATAGAGGGATTAAGGGATATGGGGATAGAGAGGGTAAATGGAATTACGTTAGAAGATCATCCATGATCTTATTAAATGGTGGGCAGGCTCGAGGGGCCGAAAGGCCTACTCCTGCTCCTACATCTTATGGTTTTATGGTCATTTTATGGAAATATCTATCTGTCTGAAATGGAATGTGCACACTTCCCTAGAGGGACACGGCTTGCTATCCTAACTCTGTAATAGATTAATTGGTGGTTGTCAAGAGTCAAGGCTTGGGGAAACCCAGAGTGTGTGTTCGGGTACCTCCGGAGTTTAACCAACTATAGCTTGAAATTGAGAGCATTGTCTGGTAAGCTTTCTGCTGCTTGTCCAGCTGTCAGGGCTTTGGCATGGGAGCTTTAACAGGAGCTCCCAGGGACTAGTCTGCCCCTCCACATCCCGACAATGAGCCAAGGTGGCTCGTGGAATCAGCAGGGCCCTGGCATATGGTGGACCTAACTGGCTCAGGAACCAACCTACCATGACTGCCAGAGGGGAGAGTGAATTACCAGGTAGATAGCTTTAAAACAATGAAAAAAATCCAAGATAATAATCAAACTCCCACTTTTGCATCTCTAGTAATGGAGTAATATCTGCTCATCTTCTGCAACTAGTTTTTATTTTGAAGGAATTCACCTTGCTTCAACTGGGGGAGGAAAGGGGTGGTAAAAGGGAGGGATATGCAACCTAGCAGATTTTGTTCGCAAGCAGGACTATTACCTCTTTGTAATTGAAATTAGAAGCAAAGATGGAGGGTGTGATTTATGAAGAGAGAAGAGGAATTTGTCCTTGGCCACGAGAAGGGAGAAAAGATTGCAAGACAGCAAGAAAGTTAGGGGAGCAGAGAAGGGCTGAAAAAACTTATGACGTCGTTATGCGCTATTTCAAATCAGCAGGACATCTGCTATTGCCTTAATTGCAGTATTTTTCTCGAGGGAAACTGTCTGTTACCCGTAGCAATTTAAGCAGCTAATTTTGCTTCCAATTTTCAAAATACTGTTTATGAATATCATTTTTATTCCTAGATCTTTTCTGTCCTTCCTTAACTCAGCAGAATTCAATTGCCACTACATACTGTTCACAACATGCAAACATTGATGAAAGATAACTTGTTATAGGGATTTCTGCTGAGTTCAAGTAAAATCTGCACAGTAGCACCGAGCAAGATCAACTTCCTACAACCAGTTACTTTTATTCAACGTTTAAAAGGAAAAGCACTTCTGCTGGAGCCAAACCGATTATTCTGTTTTGTCCACAAAGCTTTGTATGCAACAACAGCATAGGGCCCCACCTACTGGCCTAGTCGAGAAGCATTCCAAAAATTACAGGCTGCAAGCATCTTTCAGCATCTTTAAACAACATATATTTCTTCCCCCGTGTCCCCAATGTACTGCACAATTTCCAAGAGCAGACAGATAAGTTATCAAATTATTCTCTTGGTGCTATTCTGAGGCTCTCATTTAAGATTAATAAAATCTGCAATTCCATCTCTTACTATTTACCTCATTTTTTAAATATTTTAATACAAAAATGAACAAATGTTAAGACATCCACTTGAATAGATTGAATAGAGCAACAACTGCAGGAAAACAGACCATAATAAAACAGCCGACTTTTGCAGTGTGCGCTACAATCTAAGTAGGAGTGGAAACTGCGGTTAGCAAGTTACTGAATTCTTCTGTCCAATTTCGCGCCCCCCCCACTCCCGCACCACCCCAATCGTCCTCAAAGGACAACTGTCAGGCCACTCAATTTAAGGTCATCCTCATGAGGAAAGGATTTTCAGTTGAGCCACACCATATTCTTGGCCCTACATTGACACATATTTATATCTAATGTGAACAGAAAACAATTACAAACTCATAGATAATGGTTGGAAATATGTTCACTACGTGCACCACCCAAACATCCAGGGTTAAAGCATAGATTAAAATTAAATATAAAGTATAAGAATTAATCACAGCAATTTACCTAGCTTGACTTGTTGCAGGTCCAGCTGATCCTGGTTGAGCTAGCTCAGGTGTGAGAACATACAGGCTGTTATTCTTAGGTAAGTGGAGAGATCTCAGAATAGTCTGCAGATAAGAGACAAAAGAGCAGTATCATCACCTTAAATCTGACAAATTCAGAATTAACTGAAAACTATTTTCAAATAAACTAAAATGACATACATTCTGTATTTATTCTGATGGTATTTAGTTCTAAAGTTGAGATAAAATTCTTTTAAATTATCTCAAAATTATTTCATGTCTTACTTAGTAATTCTTTCAGGTATCAAAAAATATATTAAAAGGGAATCAGACTCTTGGAAAAAGATATTAAAGAGTGAGCAAGCAGGAAGGGGGAGTATTAGACTAGCTGATTGACGACCTGTAATTTGTACAAAAGTAGCCAGGTACAAATTACTGTTAATTTCTGACTAGTGAAATTCAGATCAAATGGTATGAATCCACACTGTTACAAAGACTTACACTGTCGCTTGTATCAGGAGACTTCCAACCTTTCAACTGCATTTGAGATACAGGAATCTGAAGTTCATTTTCTAGAATTTGCTTGATAGCACCTGTAAGATTTTTTAAAAATCAATCAATTTTAGCAATATATCAATTGCCTTTAAAATTGTACAACAAAGCTACAAAATGTACAGCACTTTCAAAAAAGATAATATATAAAGGAACAAATCAGTTGGATTACCTAAAGGCAAGAAAGTCCTGTTGTTAAAAAAAGTTCAAAATTTGAAGAGAAACACTTTGTGTTTTGATAATCCCACTAAAAAGATCATTCTGAAAGCCCATGGATTTTTGCTTGTTTCTGATCAGAGAAGTGGTTCATTATCCAAGCTTAAATTGGCGATTGCAAGAATTTATAGGAGTGGCTATACACCTTAGTGACCTAGAGAATTAAATAATAATAATCCTTCCATTTGATATTAGCGCCTTATCGAGTCTTTCAGACATCTCAAAGCCCTTCACAGAACATACTGTAAAGTGAATTGACTGTAAAGGCTATCAGGAAGAAAAATAGAAAGATGTTGTGGTGCAGTTTAAAGTCTTTAAAGGGATGGGGAAATTAAATAATTTCAACTTGATAATACATTAATAAATAACTTTTTTTAAAAAACTCACAAGTAAATTAATTTGGTATTTGTTGAAGACTGTTAATTGTGATCTATGTGATAAGATCAGCCTTTCAAAGAGGCTAGTAGCTTGTCACAAGACCACATAAATACAGTAAGCAGAACAATTCGCCCATGCAAGTTCCTGGGCACAAACTTGGCAAGACCAATGTGCAAAAATTGCTCAGATACAGGACACAAAACTCCAAACTTGAACACATGGTTATTTTGTTTTTGGTCCCTTTTTTTGACAGTCTCTCTCAAGCAGAACAACCATATCCCTCATCACTGATGATAATATTGACACAAATATTAACATGCTATGCAATTCACAGTAGGCTTATCAAACAAATAGAAGTACATTTCCCCGCTTCATAGAATTGTATTATTTAATGTACATGTCTCTGATTCTGCCCAATTCTATAAAATTGCTAAACTTTCGAAAATTCAAGCACAGCTCTCACACCCTAGCACCAACATTACATTATTGCTTTGCTGTATGAAAATTGGAGAGAATAGCCTGTACCCCCCACCCCCACACATACACCACATTTACACGAATAATAGGAAATCCTAGTTCTTGTCTACCTTGCTTTGAACTAAAATCGATGTTAATCAGCGAATGAGCCCAACAAGTAAAGCTTCATTCTAGTCATGCGAAACGTGATTTGGAACTGCTTGCAATATGTGGGCAAGTAATAAAGAGCTGATGCAACCTTAAACTTGTACAAGCATAATGCTAGTTAACTGTGCAAACTTCTGTTTTACTTCTCACGGTTGGGGACATGATTTCAACTCCAAATCTGATTGCAATGCAAGGATCATTATTATTGATGAGCCAACCAAAATAATCTATTTAACTGTGCCAGGTAACTTGCCAGAGCCAGTTGTACCTCAAAGAGGTGCTGATTACCAGCCCTCCGAGGATAGTAGTTAAAAGGTTTAACAGCTAAGTGAATCCAACTGGATTCAAATCAAAACCTTCTGATCTAAGCTCAACCAACTGAGCTACCTGGGATGTACAGAGATTCAACCCACAAATACACACAAAATATTGCATGAACTTGTGTGCAACATGAAATATCCAAATCTGTAAAATTAGAGACATATTTCCTGATTGGAATTGGTTATTGAGACACACCATGTTTAATAATAATTATAATAATAATCCTTGTATTTAATATAGCACTTTTCACGTCTCAAAGTGCTTCACAGAGTACATTGTAAAGTGAATTGACCGTATATTTGTGGGCAAAACGGTTATATACGTTTATAATGTTTACATACAAATAGGGAAAGTGGAAGACAGAATGTAAACTGAACAAAATATGGAAGGATAGAAGAATGAAAAAAAGTTAATATCTGAGACCTTACCAACTGTGCTTGTGTCTTCAATTACCACTTCCACATTTCTGTCACGGTATTCCACCCTGAAATTTAGCATTCTTGGTTGACGTTCCACAATCGGCCGAGATGAAACTACTGGACAAAAGGCTGAGGACGAAGAGGACGAGGAGGAGGAAGAAGGCTGGCTGGCAGGGCCGAACACTGGAACTTGGGAGGTTTCTGCATTAATAAATTCACTGGAACAGAATTCAAATAAACTTCATAAATAAGCACCAAAACTAAATATGTTTGTATCTAAATTGCATCCAGAATTTCTGTGAAGACAGAGGAGAACTATTCCAGCCTAGGTACATTTCTTATTGCAAAAGGGATTAAGGGATATGGGGATAAGACAGGGATATGGTATTAGCTGGAGTTAGACTAGAAGATCAGCCATGATTGAATGGCGGGGCAGACTCGAAGGACCAAATGGCCTACTCCTGCTCCTACATGTTATGTTACACACAACTGTTAAAAATAACTTGTTGCCTTCATTTACTCACTTCAAGCGTTTCCAACTCATTGAATAAATGATACGTAAAATTGTTTTTGGACAGCAAGATGCAGTGACTTGATAACCTGAAAGGTGACCATTTATTTAGCACTGGAAGTTACAGCAGACCCGCTGGAAAACAGCACTCAACCCTGGACTATACCAATCAATGTGATTGGCAGATTAAGCACAAGGTGGTTAACGTGCATTGTGAAACTGCATTCGAATGTCAGTAATGTTTTAATAATAAATAATTACCCCAAAGGCCTAATTAGGAAAAAGGAAAATAACTTTAGTAGTTTTCTTAAAAGTACTAGCAATTTTTCAAATTCAATATGATTAAAATTTGCAAAATTTGACACATGACTGATTTGGCCTGATTTAAATATTTTAGCAGGACATTTGTTATCTATTATGTTGAATGAACTCAGAGACACCAAAGCTGACTCCCCCACCCCTGGTTCTTGAAGTTAGATGTGTAGCACTGGATTTCTAGTTCATGGTTTTTGACTGCCAGCTTGTGCGATACCAACATTTTTCTGATGAAAAACCTCAGCGTAGGTATCCCTCTAAGCAGCAGTCAAAACACCCAATCCAAGGCCACTGATGCCTTGCAGTGCTGCTACACTGGAGTCAAATTGCCAGCTCCACTTTATATCTCTCTGGACAGCAAACCTGAGGCTGAGCTCTGCCTCTGTGAATCTAAACAAACATTGCTCTACTAGCCAGTCAACTGCTGAATTTTTTTTAACATTGTTGAAGAACAAGGAGTCCTACCAACTCTTTAATAACAACAATATAATAATAATAAAATAATAATAATAAAATGCACTTATACAGCGCCCTCCACACAGGGTAGAGTCTCAGAGCGCTTAACAGTGACGGAGCCTGACTCCAAGTCGGGTGGTGGGGGGGGGGTGGAGGTGGCTGTAAACTCGATTGAAGAGGAAAGTTTTCAGGTGGGTTTTGAAAAAGGGGAGAGAGGGGGCAAGGTGGAGAGATTGAGGCAGAGTGTTCCACAGTTTGGGAACTATTATTATTAGATTATTATGAATAATAAATCTAATATTTTATTATTAAATTATTAAGAGTTTTATAATGTTAAACACGGTACATACGGGAAGCTGAATCCTTTACAAATCACATTTTTCAGGCGGTGGTCACCCCACAGCCACAAAGAGTTCAGGAGGAAGGTGAGTGGGATGGTAGGGAGCAGAGACAGACAGAGCAGAAATTCCCCGAGAGTGTGGCACTCACAAACCGGTTTCTGTATTGAATACAGAAGGGTGATGGTGAGGGTGATGACACCTCAGGGAGGGCAATCTTAGGCAAAGCCATGGCACAGTGGGGCAAACAACTCCCAGGTGTCTGCAGGGAAATGCAGCAATGCTATTGAAATTGGGAAATCAGGTAGGTAGGCGTTTCTGCAACCGCAGACCTGAGTCTCGCATGGTGTGGTCTGGTCAGGCTCACTTTCTCCCCATCACCGAACGGATCGACCGCAAGATCCTTACACTCGTTTTCAAATCCCTTCACTCTGGCACCTCCCTCCCTCTCCGACCTCCTCACTCGCCAATCCACCACCCGGGCCTCCGCTCGACTGACACGTGTGACTCGTCCCTCACACCCTCCGTCCCACCATCAGAGGTCGCACTTTCAGCCACTACGCCCTGAAACTCTGGAACACACTCCCTCAATCCCTCTGCCTTGCCCCCTCTCTCCCCTTTTTCAAATCCTGTCTGAAAACTTACCCTATCCTGCATGGAGGGCACTATATAAGTTCAAGTTGTTTTGTTTTATTGCCTCCTTGTGGCTGGAAAAATGGTGCAGGGGGGGGGGCTTCAGATTCCTGGGGCATTGGGACCGGTTCTGGGCAGAATTAATAATAATCCTTGCATTTGATACAGCACCTTATCATGGCTTTGGGACCAAAAACGAAATCTTCTTGCAGAGGCAGAGGGCATGGCTGAAGAACTGAATGAATACTTTGCACAAAAGAGGATGCTGCCAATGTCCCAGTAAAGGAGGAGGATGTAGAGAAATTGGATAAGATTGAAAACAAATAGAGGAGGTACTTAAAAGGTTAGCAGGGCTCAAGTAGAAAAGTCACCCGACCAAAATGGTACACATCCTAGATTGCTGAGGGAAGTTAAGGTGGAAATAGCAGAGGCTCTGGCCACAATCTTGTGGCCCACGTTGGGACTTGAAACCACATATTCTAAGATGACACCGCAATTGCAAGGCTTATTATTTATTATAAAAGTTCCTCCTCAAAAATATCCTTACCTCTGTAAAATGCCATTCTCTTGCGGAATTACACCATTGATAGCTGCCTGCAAACAGAAAAAAGTACAGATGAATAAATAAATAAATTTGATAAATATTAAAAATAATCACTGTAGAACTCATGTACCAGAATATGATCTAATAATCATGTGGATGCTAGAACTGACAAGTTCATGCTATGCTGGAATACCTAATTTCTAGCATTAAATACTAATTTTGAATTATGGAAAAGTTTCCAACTACAGTACTGGTATATTGCAATGCTATAATAGAGTACACTCTTGGCTTTCTCGCAAACACATACCAAACAACCCCCATGCCATATGATGTAACATTTCAACACTTAGGTTGAGTCCTAGTGGAATATTTCAAGATCAACACAGAATTTGTATAAAAAGGCTGATGAAATAAAGTTTCTATTTCAAACAATTAATTCAAAAGATTATCCCGGCTATTTGAACACAACTTAATGACGAGATATCTGTAGATTTTAAATTCTTTCTTGTGAAGATTTCCTGCCCCCATCGCTGCCTTTTGTTAAGACTGTGTGGAAACAACCCTACTCTAGGATTGAAAACAAATAATCTCAATTCATTCTGTTAGAAAATAACTCAACCACAACACCCAAGTGCTACATTCAAATTACATACTCACTTATTGACAAACTAAAAAATCTTCTTACACTGATCGCTTGTGATTGAAACAATGCACAAATGTTGTTTTGCTAATGAACAGTTTAAGTGTAAAATCTACTCGCATTTCAAAACAAATACATTATTATGTAGCAGACGCCCCCTACTGTTTGTTTGAACATAAGCCTCAATCACAGTTTACTAACTTTTGGCCAAGGGCCATACTGACAGTGACTTGCTCAAGAGGCACTCTCACAAACCAAAGACATGGTAACTTCATGTACCTCTTTTGGCAATTGGAACTGGGCCACATTTACACATTTGGAAACTATGAAGAGTAAACATTAGTGTGAGAAGTTCCCACATTTTCCACTTTTGATTCTAGGACTTGAAAATTCAAACTGCATGTTGGCAAAATTCCACTTCCCACTTTGTGGGAAAGGAAGCATTTTCACACTACCCTCAGACATTACAAAAGTATTGCCATGGAAAAAGTCCTTTCTGTCCATTTGATCTAATCCTTCTAATGCCCAACATACCATCATCAAGGCTTTCCTATATCCTGTGTTCTAGCCATAACCACCTTTTCTGGTAATCCATTCCAACTTCCACATTTCGGTGCTTTCATAATAATACTTTGTTCAAAGTAAAGCAACTTCACGCAAGATGACTGGGACCGTGATTTACCTACACAGTGCATCTGTGAGCAGGCAATGCAGAGGTAAGTCATTATTTGACAAGTGTAGGGTGGAGAAGGGGAATGAATGTGAGAAAACATTTGAGAACCCCACCCCCAGAAGAATCAAGATTTCCTATTTATTTGTTCCATAACTGGTATGAGGTACTTACCACTAAATCCCAGTTATTCTGTTCAAGCAATGTAATAGCTTCATCAATATTTTCAATACCAGTGCATGCCTGGGAAAAGGGGAAAAAGTGAACCATTAAAATGCATTGCGGAAAATACATATACCAAAAAAACATAAAACTAAAAATCATAACTTTGCTCAATATATGAAATGAATGTTTCATAAATTTATTACTACTGCAGGGTGACGTTTCTGCCAATTTCTACAATTTGCAAATCTCCATCAGACCTCTTGTGTTCTCCTGATGTGAAAGTTACTGCACATATGTAATGTGTTGGTGTTGACTATGGTGACTCCATGTAATGCAGTTCCACCCACGACCTCACCAAAAACTGTTAGTATAATGTGAGATTTTAAGATTGTGGAGTGTAATATCATTTAGGGCAGCGTGGTGGTGCTATCCATTAGAGCACCAGCTCAGTACCAGAGCAGAGGGAACCAAGTTAATTCCCCAAGTCTGCTGAGATCCAATTCCATCTTTGCTGTACAGAAATACACCAGAACAATAAATTTTGTATCAACTTTCTATCCACTGAAAGAGAAGGCAAATCATTCACTGAACTGCATAAACATTACAACTACATAACTTTATGTTTGTCAAAGACAAGAGTACAGATTCTTACTGAAAACAGGATTTGGGATCTTTAAATTACATAAAGAATCTCAGATGGAATTTGACATGAAAGAAATGCTGGATATTAATATCTAAACATTGCTGAAGCAAAGCACAGTACATAGTTTGCTTATGATTCGACACTTGTCAGTGTACTGAACAAATTTAGGCAGTTTCCAATGTAAATCAGATTGATTACATTCACTTGGCATTAGCCCGATATGAACCAGATATTTGGATATCTGAGGCGTCAAAGCACAAATATAACATATTCAACAAGGCAATCACGGAATCTATAACCCATGAGTGAAAGAGTCACAGGCGCTTTTCATGTGATCAATGTTTATTAATGTTTTTCCTCAAACAAGGGCAAGAATAAATATGAAATTGAATTTTAAAACACAATACTGGAAGAAACTTTAATAATCGCACCACAAAAAGGGGTTTAAATTTTTCAGTTTTCTTGGAATTATTTTATTCCATTATCTGACAAGCCAGATGAAGAATAATCACACATGTTGACATTTCCACTATTCAAATTCAATTAAAACCACAAAACGGTTTGAGTCACAAAACTAACATTCACTTCATCCATCACAACCAAATAAAATAGGTGACACTTGAGGATACAGCAACTCATTTAAGCCAGAAACAAATAGACGACAATCAGAAACGCACTCACCTAGTGCTTCACTGAGAAGGGGAATTTTTGATTTTATATACAGAATACAAATTATTGCATCAAACGTCCAAGGCCTTTTAAAGTTAAAGCTCAAATCAACTTGATTTTTTTAAACTAAACATGTTCACTAATCTTTCTACTGTCTCGATGCACTATACCATAAGAACATAAGGAGCAGGAGTAGGCCATTTGGCCCCTCGAGCCTGATGACCATAACTCCGGGAAAAATTAGTTAGGTGGATAGCAGCTATCAGAACTTCTCACAGTTCAAATGGCAAGCACCCCAACTCAGCATCATTGTACTTGACACACAAATCCTCCTCGCTACCCTTCGCAATACACAGAAACCAGACCAAAACATCTAATGTGCTTGTGTTTAAAAAAAACTAATACTTCATTTGCAATTTTCCTGGACAAAAATAAGCATACTGATATCTGAAAATTCTGCATGCCACAAAATTACATTTGTATAGCACCTTTCACATCGGGAGGACATCCCAAGATACTGGACAATTAGTGTTTCGGACCCGAGCTGGGAGTCGGGATCGGGGAGGGTGGGGTGCAGGGAGGAAAAGCAGGGTGACCGAAGGCACGGTCGAAGAGGAGGGTCTTGAGACGGGTCTTGAAGGAGGCAAGGGAAGGGACGAGGCGGAGGGACTGCGGGATAGGGGCAGAATGGCTGAAGGCACCCACACACAAATGGTGGGGGTGGGGCGAGGTGGGGAACGTGAAATAGACCGGAGCTCGCTGAGCGGAGAGTGGGCAGGCTAGTAGGTTAGGAGTTTGCAGAGGTAGGGGGGAACAAGGTCATGGAGGACTTTGAAGGTGAGGACCAGGATCTTGAACTGTATCCTCTGTGTGATAGGAAGCCAGTGGAGTTGGACGAGGATGGGGATTATAGGGTCGTGGAGCCTAGTGTGGGAGAGGACACGAGCTGCAGAGTTCTGGATGATCTGCAACCTATGGAGGGAGGAGTTGGGGAGGCCGACAAACAGTGAGTTTGCATAGTAGAGCCTGGATGTTACAAATGCGTATATGAGGGTCTCAGCGTTCTGCAGTGTGAGATAATGGCGTAGTTGGACAATGTTGTGAAGGTGAGGAAAGGCGGAGCAGGTCATGGCATGATGTAGGGTATGAAGTTGAGGGTCGAACAGGATGCCCTGGTTCCGTGAGATGTAGAGTGTATCCATGAAGGGTGATCCTGCAGAAAGTTAGCTCTTATCCAGGACTTGATGTCCAACTGGCAGTCTGTGAGGACAGCAGTGGTCCTGGAGTCAAGGGTGGAGGCAGAGAGGTAGATTTGGGTGTCAACCGCATACATGTGGAAGTTGACCCCATGTCTGCGGATGATGTCATCAACGGGAAGTATATAGATATTGAAAAGGACAGAGCCCTGAGGGACGCCACACATAATTGTGTGGGAGCTGGAGAAGAAGCCATTAAAATGACACAATCCCAAAAGCAAAGCATGCATCCTAGAGCTGTTCTAGTGAAGTACTAGTACATCTTGCAAAATATTGCTAAAGAATATGAAGTATATTTATATGCTTTAGAAATACCCTTAACAAACTTCACTGTATATAGTAGTTGGCCAGGATGTCATGGACCTCACTAAGTCTCTCAGCAGCCTTCACACACTGCGTTTCTGTCAAAGGAATATTGCCGTTATTTCCTTCCACAGGAATAACTCAACGAACCAAGAGTAAGCACAAAATAGGGTCATATTTACTGTGGACACACTATTGATAAATTAATCAGCAAAAACTTTAAAAACCTAGATAGATGTTATTAGAAAACAGATATATAATCTTAAAAGCAAATTGAAACCAACTTATAAATTCTATGATAACATTTTATGCTTTCCCATTAGGGACATCTCAAAAGGAAATATAAGCAGAAAACCGATTAGATTCGAGACTAGAAACAGTTTCCCATCGTCCAATTCACAATTACAATATGTGTGTGTGGGGGGGGGGGGGGGGGTTTGAACACATTTTTCACCAGTGGAGCAATTTCCTCCTTTATCCCCCCACCCCCCATCTCCATCTATATCCATTGACTGTTTTCCTCTTACTACTGCAGTGGAGTACAAAGCCATTCATATCTGCAAGGTGATATGTTAACCAAACGTTTGTTTAAACTGTGATGCTTCAAGGAAATACTCACCTGAACAAATATTTTTTTAAAAATGACATCTAGCCACTAAGCAATATCACTCTCTTTAAAACTGATAAACCAAGGAAACTGAAGAATGTGAGGACAGAACTGAAGATAGTGGTGTAGAATTTCTCTACATCTCAACTTCAGATGACATTGCACAGGTGGGTGTAAAATCATGAGCTTTTCATCAAAAGAAGTGATCCAATAAACTGACTCTCAACTGGCTAGTGAGCTAGGTCAGTGCACTGGTAAAAGTATTCTTAGTAAACATCTCCATTCGTCATTCTCCTTTTTTATTAGTCATTTTGAAGTACAAATGAATAGAGGGCATTTAGCTGTGGATTCATGTGTCCTGTATACCACGACACTGATGCCATGAAGCAACAATCAAACAATTATGAGTATGCAAATATGAGAAATATTTTCAGCCAGGACTGCCCACATGTCTGATAAATGAATGTAGCATTCACTCAGAAGGCAATGGGCCCCGAGGAACACACACCATTCAGTAGGCCATTGAAGTGTGCCACACAGCAATCCTCGCATTTTTCACTGATAACAGGCAATTAGAACCACCAATTCTGCTTATCTGCAGATGGTACTCCATGGAGCAATGCCACTGGATACCAATGTTAAACGCACATGACAGAGGTCCAATTGAAGTATGCACTGGAGCCTTCATGACCTGATCCAGTTTAAATGAAACATTTTAAAAATAGATTATCATGTGCACAAAAAGTAAGCAGTATTTACTTTTCCTACCTGTACGTTTTATACAACATGCACATATAAATTGCAGGCTGTTTCCCAGTATCACATGCCAGCCAGATAAAAGTAATGTGGTTAAAATTCCTATGAATTTCATTAGCAGTTCTACAAACATATCAATGACTGGGACACATTTTCATTACATGCTATGAAATTAGTTACTTTATTAAAGCACTTGCGTCGCAAGCGAGAGACCTGGCAGGGCAAAACCTTGGACAAGTTTCCCTACTCTACACGCCTGATGATAATCCCTCAAAAAAAAGAAATTGGTCACTTCAATCCACGACTGTTTGTGGGACACTACTGTGCGCAATTGACTGCCGCGTTTCGCCCACAAATATACAGTCAATTCACTTTATAGACATGAAAAACGCTTTATCAAATGCAAGGATTATTATTATTGTTATTATTATAACAACTTACATTTATAAAACGCCCTACACACAAATTGGGGGGGGGGGTGGGGGTGGGAAGGGGGTGTGTGGTGCGGAGAGAGGCGGAAAAGAGAGGAGATAACCCTCCTCATTGTCTTCTAATCAGAGAATGTTGCTTTTATAGGCTTGAGATATTTTCCACGAAAACTTTCCATACACAATCTCCAGTTGTTCCTTCCTTGTTGCAAGGTTTGCCATCTTCCAGCCACGTTTATAAACATTATATTACCTATGTATTACATTACAAAAACAAGATTACATTTGTATAGCGCCTTTCATATCGGGAGGACATCCCAAGGTGCTGGACAGTGTACAGCATTTCAGACCCAAGCTGGGGTCAAGGGGGAAAAAGGAAGGGGAGGGGAAGGGGGATGGCCGATCGCGTGGTCGAA